GTTTTTCTCTTTTTTTCCCTTTATGTCATTCTCTGGAACTACTGTTTATCTGTCCATCTCGTTTGTTTCGTTTGCTCGGTATGGCTGCATTTGTATGTATGTGCGCGCAATGGGTGTGTTTTGTTCGACGGGGTTCATGTTGTGGGGGGGTAAGTAGGGCATGCATCCAGAAGGGCAATGCTTCAGCAGTTACATGGGGTCACTATGTACTCCCACGACGAGCACCACACCACCACCTCCTACTGCTGGAATGAGAGAGGTAAGGATGCTTCGGCCAATAACACACCTGCTGCTGTCCAGCTCACTAACTTACGTCTGTTCGTCCGTCAGACTGTCAGTCCGTCCTGTGACCCTTTGTCATTTAAAACATGCCTTGAATTGTCTCATTTTGTCCTGGACGATGTGCGAGCCGGGTGGGTGGTGCCATCTTCATAGGAGTGCTGTGAATCTTTAGTAGGCCTCGTAATTTTGAGATGTAAGACTTCTCTAAACTGAGGCAGATTGTATTACTTCTTTATTTTTTGTTTAATTTATTTAACAGGTATAATAACGGTTCAGGATTTTATTTTTTATTTTTTATCAGGGCATCCGTGTTTTCTTTTATAGCAAAAATGTGTCTACAAAACAGGTTTGTGACTGGTTCTTAAAATGTTGTTAAAAACAAAGATTTGGTCTAACATCTGTCGAGTCAGTTCATCCCAGCTTGATGGTCTTCCACCAGGGTTTGCCTCCATCTGTGGTTGCTTTTAGTTGAAGTTTATGTTTTGTGTGGTGTTTGTCTGGGAGGGCAGGGCTGCACAGCTCCTGGTTCTGAATAATTCAGAAATGCAGCGATACAGAAATACCTCCATGATGGAGCTTTGAAACACCTGAATATGTAGGTCTTAAATGGAGCTAAATAAGGTTTTGAGATTGGTGCAGCTGCATGAGTGTTTGTCGGATGGATTCCTGCTGTGACTCAATAAACTTAAGACGTATATGTATGTGTGTGTGTGTGTGGGGGGGGGGGGGGGGTTGTTGAAAGACTGTGTTTCTGTCCAGCTATTTCTTTGTAATAATTAATCACTTTGCTTCTGAGTGTATACTAGTACATTCAGTCCGTGGCATTTTTGTTGTAACATTTTACATCACTGTCCACAGAAAGAAACACATAACATGTTTGTCTTTTTGAAAATGTTTCTTCTTCTTTCTCCTTACTGTATGTTCTTTTTTCTTTTGAACTGCTTTTCCTTTCATATCTTCATTCTTCTTTACTTTTCTGCCATTAACTTTAACTTTTAATTCACTTTGCTCTTTGCTCCTCCAACACTTAATTTTTTTTGTTTGTTTTGTTTCTTTCTTGCTCTTTACTCTCCCATTGCTTCCCATCCATCTCCTTATGCAACCTTTCTGCTCGTACCATGTGTCTGTGTTTGGTGGCTGCTGTTGCTGCTGCAGAGAGTCGTGAAAACTCCTTCAGCCGCTCGCGCAGCTCTAGTGTGTCTAGCATTGACCGGGACACCAAAGAGGCTGTCACCACACTGCAGTTTGGGGAGTCATACGGACGCAAGAGTGATGCCCTGCCCACACCATGTCTGTGGGTGGGCACTAGCTTAGGAGTGGTCCTGCTCATTCCAATGTCCATCCCTCTGGACCAGGAGGAAAGGATGGAGGAGCCCGTCACCATCGGCCCCAGTGGTAAGCATCAGCAGAACTGGATTTCATTGCAAAGTGACTCATGAGCTAAAAAATTTTTTTTCTCTTAACACACAGACATGCTTGTGTACTCACTAATTCTGGGTTTGTAAATATAATAGCATTTAAAACTATTATACAGTTTACAGTCTGTGTTGTAACGTGTTGGTGTAATCAGATTGTATTCCCAACATCTCATTAAATCATAGTTAAAAAATTCTTATAAACTGATCTCAATGTCTTTAAAGACAAAATATACTGTTCCTCAGTCACTCCTCCAAATCTCGTATGCCGT